ATTTTTTTTGTCTTTTTGAGACAGGGTCTCCCTGTAGCCCCAGCTGTCCTAGAACTCACTATGCAGGCCAGGCTGGCCTTGAACTCAGAGAGATCTGCCTGCCTCTGCCTCCCAAGTGCTGGGACTACAGGTGTGCACCACCAAGCCTGGCTCAATAAATAAAATATTTTTTAAAAACTGCAGAAATGTTACAGGCCAGGTACAAGTCTATAACTCTGGTATTCATGAGGATGAAACAGAGGTCTGTCAGTTGAAGGCCAACCTGGTCTACATAGCGAGTTACAGGCCAGCTGGGGCTACAGGGAGACCCTGTCTCAAAAAAGATGGAAAAAGAAAGAAAAGAATATTCCAAAGCCCAATGCCCATGGTACACTGACAGAGGGGGCTGGGGAGGGGCTCAGTGATGGAGCACTGCCCAGCACATATAAGAACTCAGGTCCGATGTCAGCATTGCACCTAAGCAATAAAAATCGATGCTACTTTTCTCCAGGGGACCGAGGGGGCAAAAACCGGGAGACTGGAGAGTGTTGGGTTGGTGAAATACTTGTCCACATGCTGCTGACCCTGGTTTTGATACCTAGCATGAGAAGAAAGAAAAAGCAAAGGTGACAGACAGCCACAGACTCCTATACAAAGAGAGTAAATTTTTTTTGGTATAGTCTTTATTAATTCTTTGAGAATTCCATATGATGTGTTGAGATTAAATGCACACTTTTCCTTAAAAAGCTTTTGAAATTTATTTTTCAGGGGGCACACAGGCATATCACAGTGCACATGTAGAGGTCAGAGGACCACTCATTGGTTCTCTCCTACTATGTGTGTGGGTCCTGGGAATTGAACTCAGGGTGTCGGGCTTGGTGGCAATGCCTTTACCCGCTGAGTCATCTCACTAGCTCCAAATGTACACTTTTTTTGTTTGAGACAGGATCCCCTTGTAACCTCAACTGGCCTGGAACGAAATATGTAGACCAGGTGACCTAGATCTCAGTGATTCACCCCTCAGCCTCCGGAATACACAAATCAAAGGCGTGGGCCACCACAGCCGACACGCATGTATTTTTTAACGCTGGTGACTGAATACCATTGAACACACCCCCAGCCCCAAATATATGACACCTAAAAACTTAACAGTATTTATTTCCCTTCAAACATGGATGGAAAGAAATCCTGCCTCTAATACTCTCCTAGCAGACCTTCCTAGAAATAACTGTGGAGGGAAGAGAATATTCTGAGGAGTGCTCCACTAGTGACAAACTGTTAGCTATGTCTTCGCATTCTTCTCTCTACAACTGCACAGACTCAAACTTCCCAGTTTATACTCCTGAAGTTTCAGGGTGGTCTAGAGACGGTAACTACTGTGTGTACAATTATCTCATGTTATAAAGTTAGCGTAGGACTGGGCATGTAGCTCAATGGTAGAACACTTGCCCCGTGTACCTAAGGCCCTGGGTTCTATCTTCAGCATCACAAAAATAGAAAGCAAATGAGTGTGAACTACAGCTTCTGACTCTATGTGTGCTTGCCAAAAGCTGCATTCTCTCAGTGTTACCTCTGAGCAGTTACAGATCAACACAATGCAATAATGGTTGAATCTCCTCTAGTAGAGCAGAAATTTGGACATCAGAGAATTGATGCAGACTAAGCAAATCTTACATGCTTATATTCAGTTAAGAGTCTCAGAGTCTGTTCTTCATGAAGAGAATATTCACTGAACATTACTTTTTTTTTTTTTAAAGACAGGATCTCCCTGTAGCCCCAGCTGGCCTGGAACTTGCTCTGTGGACCAGGTTGGCCTCGATCTCAAGAGATCCACCTGCCTCTGCCTCCGGAGTGCTGTAAGTAAAGGTGTGCGCACCGCACCTGGCTCATTCCGCAGTTTTAATTTCTACACAAAATCAAAGAGCAAAGCGTTTCTATAGAGACAAAGTTGAATCATATAGTTTTAACAGAAACACCTCTGCCAGTCGTGCATTCAGAAGCATGGGATCCGACCCAAATCGACACCCTTCTGCCTTCTGCTGCAGGACAAAGCACCGGAGCCCTAAAACCCCTAACCTTCAAACTGCGCAGGCCTGAGAACAAGCCAAACGTAACTTCTGACTTCAGTCAACAATTCTCCTTTCTGTCCTACCGATGCCTACTATTCCACACGCAAAAGATGTTTCCAAGTGCTTCTCCTAGGAAGAGCTCGCCATAGTTGTACCGCGAGCGGAAAGTAAAGGGACGCAGAGGGCAGGGGTAAAAGTGGAAAAATAAAGAAACCTGACACCGGATGGACCGCGCCAGGGAAGGAAACCGGCTACGAGCACCGAATGCAAAGTGCGCAGACCAGCCCGCCTCCCGCCGCGCGACACAACTGCACTTTCACTTTCCAACTTCCTGTCACCTCAGGGTCTCAACTGCTCCCCTCCGCCCCACGCAGGCAACAAAGCCCGCGGCCACCTTCCGCCAAAGGAACCCACCACGGTGGGAGTCCGGCGGAGGGAGAGCTTCCAGCACCCACCCGCGCGCCGGCCCCGCCCCTCCCACACACAAGGCCAAGCCCCGCCCATCCAGCCAGTCCCGGGCTCCAGAAGCCCCGCCTCCGACCGCCCACAAGGCCAGGCCCCTCCCGCGGGGCGCACTTCCGCTGCACCAGTGGCCCCCGCCGCAGGAGGCTGAGGGGCGGAGGTGCAAGACACGACGGGGCGTGGGTTCGCCGCTTACCCGGCCGTCCACGCAGATCCTTCTCGACCTCGAATGCGGCGCTCGATTTCACTGCCGGTTTCTCCTCAGGCTAGCAACTCAAGGACTGCGCGGTAGCCGCGGCGATCCCCGCAGAGGGACCTGAGAAGGCAGCGGCGGCCTCGCCGCGTGCCTGCAGCCGCCCGCATCTCCCGGCGCCACGGGCCTCGAGCCCCGCCCTCCGCCCCCTCACGCGCGGCAGGGTGGCAATGCGGCTGGTGAGGCCGCCACTCGCCGGGCGCGCGCTCGGGGCGTTCCTCACCGCGGCCTGACCTGCCCGTCGCTCAGTAGCCGCCGCCACTCTCGAATCCCCCGGCAGCACCGGGGCCCCTCCCGGACGCCGCAGTCGAGCACGTCACTTCCGGGGGAAGGGCCGGGCCCTGGGCGTCCGGAAACCCGTGTTTGGAGTCGGGAGGAGGGTGTGGGTAGGTGAGGGCGCGTCTGGAGTGTCCGCTTAACGTCTCTGTGCTTGTTCTGCGGCTCAACCTCCCTGGACCGTCGGTCTGTACCCGCTGGCCCACTGCCAGTCCTCGGGCTCCTTAGGTGGCCGACAGGATTGACGGGAGGGCCGCCCCCTTTCTGGGCAGTGCCGCGGCGCTGCGAGCTTAGAGTTGCCTGCAGCTCCGCAGCCAGCACCCACACTTGATACCCCACTGATGGTGTGGGAAAAGCCTTCCGGTTTACCCCTCGCTAGTTCAAGGACCAAAGGGACTTTTCTTAACGTCTCCAAAACACAAGTTCGTCTGTAAGGTGGGCCGAGAGAACGTAATGAGTTGTGATGACTAACGGGGAAGAGGTGCATGAATCACCGCCAAGTTTACCAGTGCGCCATGTGGTTCTCCATTAGATTGCCTCTAATGCCAGCCCTGGGCATGGGGCATGATTGTGTTTCCAGACTTACTACTTGGACTGCTTTTGAGACCTTGTCTCCCCCACACACACCAAAGAAAAGTTTTTGTGGTGTGTGTTTAGGCTTTTTGAGACTCTCCCTCAGACTGACACAGAAATAAATGACTGTAACTGAAGCTGGCCTTGAGCTCTCAGCAGCCCTGTTTCAGACGCTACAGTATTGAGATCCCAGGTGTGGGCTACCAATCTAGCTCATACATGTTTTGCTTTTGGAAATGAGGTCTTGTGTAATCCAAGCGGGTCTGGAAGTCACTGTGTAGCTGAGGCTGACCTTGAGCTCCTGATCTCTTGCCTCTGCCTCTCAACACTATGCCCAGCTTCATAGAATTCTTTTTTCTTATCAATGTGTTTATTTTTTGTTATAAGAATTTCATACATGCATACAATGTATTTCAATTATATTCATCCTCTGTCACCTCCCAACGCCTTCCAAATCCATGTCTCCATCACAATGTAGATATAGGTATATAGCAACATAGATATCCCACTGAGTCCAATTAGTGCTGCCTATTATATGCATGGGTGTGGGGCCATCCCTGGATCATTTTCAGCCTACCAAGGACCACACCCCTAAAGAAAATTGACTCCCCCTAGCCCCAGCAGCCATTAACTTGTTAAAAGTTCCTCAGCTAGGGTTGAAGGCTCAGGTACCCCTCCCCCTTTCATACTGGACTATTGTGCAGATCTTGTGCAGGCAACCACAATGACTGTGAGTTCATGAGTGCAACAGTCCTGTCATGTCCACATGACTCTCACTCCAGTCCTCCCCAACCTCTGGCTTAGTCTTTCCACCCCCCTCATCCTCAGGTACAGATGTAATACAGGTGTCCTATTTATTGCTGAGCACTCCACAAACAGCTGTTCTCTGCACTTTAACCAGTTGTGAGTCATGGCAAAAAGAAGCTTCTCTGATGAGTCTTTAGGGCTTATGAGCAACCCAGCCACTGGATCTTGGCCAAGTTTATAGTACCAGACACTCCTGTGGGGGTGTACTTGAAACAAAGTGGTTGGTTACCCCATACTCTCCATGGCACTATTGCACCCACTAACATGTCTTGCTAAGCCAGTCATTTTTGTAGCTTGCAGGGTTCACAGCTAGGTAAGACTGTTGACTTTTCTCCTATGCAAACTAGCCAGTTCTTGTCAGTACCAGCTTGATTTCTCCAAGTCCTATAACCACAGTGTAGTATCTTCATCAGTAGGGCCCTATCATTTTTTAGTGGGCAGCCATGAACAATAGCAATAACCTGCATTGTTCTGGGGATCTCTGAGACACTACCCCCAACAACAACTTGAGGGGAGGTATCCTACACCTGGCACAAGGCTTTTTATTTGGCAACCTATGCTCTTCCCAGAATGCACAAATTGCCTTTTTCTTTTTGTGTACATAATTTTTTATTACACACACATTATATATATATATATATATTATATATATATATATGAGGGTCACACATGCTAGGGCAGTGTGTTGAGGTTGGAAGACAACTGTAGGTAGTCACTTCATTCCTTCCACAATGTGGGTCCCAGTGATCCAATTAGGTGGTCAGACTTAGCAGCAGTAGGCACCTTTACCCACTCACCAGCCCCATATATATAATTTTTAAAAGTATGTATTTTTATTTATATGTGTCTGTATGTTACATACCTACAGGTGCTGGAGGAGGCCAGAAGAGGACTTCAGATCCCTTGGAGCTGGAGTTACAGGCAGTTGTGAGCTTCCCTGTGTGGGTGCTGAGAACCTAACCTGGGTCCACTGGAAGGGCAGTACTCACACTTGGTATAAGAAAGTACTTGGAAAATGTAATAGCTGAAATTATATAGGGTCATTAATAAACTGTGACTGATGAGCAAAACTACAAGAAATACATTTCCAGACAGGTCAGTGTCTGAGTTATTGGCTTTTCCTATTTACTAGCTGATGACCTTCAATGAACTGGTTTTTTCTTTTTGAGACAGGGTCTCCCTGTAGACCCAGCTGTCCTGGAACTCACTATGTAGACCAAGCAGGCCTTACAGAGATCCACCTGCCTCTGCCTCCCACGTGCTGGGAGTACAGGCGTGTGCCACCATGCCCAGCCTCAATGAACTGTTTTACTTCTCTGAACTTTTATAAAAGTTCATGTAAAACTGAAGATGATAATATGCAGTATTGTTAGAAGGATTAAATGAAAGTCATGGTTTTTAGCTGACTCAAAGTAGACATTAAATAGTGGTGTCATTTATTTTTACCGGTCGTCTTACCCCTACAGTTGAATTCATGGTAAAATTCATTGACTTCACTGAATGAATATGAATGGTTTTTTGAAGAGAATCATTATTTCCTTTGGTCTCTAACCTCTATAACAGAGTAATTATAATACCCAGAGGTAACTGACTAGAAGACCAACTTGACAGAAAGATATTAGCTTTTCTAAGCTAATTTTAGGGCTGTACATGGTGTAGCACATGCCTAAACTCCCAGCACTCAGGTGGCAGAGGTAGAAGAAACAAGTTGTAAGCCAGTCTGTTCTACATTTTGAGTGCCGGGTAGCCAGGGCTACATGGGGAAAACCCTGTCTCGAAACAACAACCAAAACAAACTGGCATAGTTAATTTTTGCCAACTTTACACATACCCAGGTATGGGAAGGAGAACTCTCTAGTGAAGAATTTCCTCCATCAGATTGGCCTGTGGGCATATATATGAGGCCTTATCTTGATTGCTGATTGATTTGGGAGGACCCAGCCCACTGTGGATGGTTCTGTTCTTGGGCAGGTAGACATAGGCTGTATAGAAAGGCAGCTGAGTAAGCCAGGAGAGTGAGGTAGTAAGCAGTGTTCCTCCATGGTCTCTGCTTCAGTTCCTGCCTGGAGTTCCTGTCCTAACCTCCTCTGTGATGTGCTGTGATCTGAGAATTGTAAGATGAAATGTATTATAATCTGGGACTTGTAAGTGATAAAACCTCTAACCAAAAGCAACTTGAAGAGGAAAGGATTTGTTTCATTTTACACTTCCAAGTGCCAGTCCATCATCAAGGGAAGCCAGGGCAGAAACCTAGAGACAAGATCGGAAGCAGAGACCATGAAGGAACGCTGCTTACTGACTTGCTCCTCCTGGCTTGCTCATTCTTTTATATGGGCCAGGCCCACCTGTCCAGGGATGGCACTGCCCACAGTGGGTTGGGTCCTCCCACATCAATTAATAATTAATGCCTCATAAGCATGCCCCCACAGGCCAATCTGATGAAGGAAATTCCTCAATTGAGGTTCCTTTTTCCTACGTGACTCTACTTTGTTTCAAGTTGACGAAAACTAGCACATAGAGCATGTGCCTAACACTGAGGCCTTGAGTTCTTTCCCTAGTACTAGGGAGGGGAGGAGGTTGTCTATGTGTGTTAAAAGAACATGCACTAGCCATCTTTTTTTTTTTAATTTTTACAAAAACTGAGAATTTCATACATGCATATAAGGTGTTTTGGTCAAATCCATGCCCACTCCCTCCCCTCCAACAGTCCCGTCTCTGAAGAGGTAACCCCAAAATCTTTAAAGGATTAGATACAAGTTCCCAAATACTTTTGACATTTTTGGCCTTGGAATAGAGTATGTTGCTAACAGGCCCAAGGACATTTTGACTTTTAGCCAAGAAACTGGCTATGTTTCTTTGGGGTCTTTTTATCCTAACTGCTTAGCCAATTCCTACCTCATACTCATCATGCCATCCTCTGAAGGGGTTACCCAAATTGCCAATAGAGAACAATAGAGAATAGGGACGCCAACCGCTCTGGTTTCTTCCATTGCTGAACAGGGACGCAGGGTGAGGCAATTGGAGTACCCCTTCAGTGGGTCTACCTAAAATACTCCCAAATTGTATAACTCTTGTCTCTAAGGAGAGAAGAAAGTCCTTGAATCATGAATAGGAGATGTGAAGCAGAAGTAAAGGCAAGAGTAATTAGCATTGTAAGTTCTATACAGGGAACTAGAAAAAAATCAGAACAGGGCAGTTTTCAAATGTTCATATAAGAGTCCATTGGAGTTTCTTGACAAGAACTTCCAAAAGCATCCCTCTATTTTCTTTTGTCTTCCAAGGCTAGACTAGTTGGCTGGGAAGAGTGGTTAGATACTCAAGTGAGGGTCCAGTGACCCTGCTTGGCATTCCTTTAATGATGAGCACAACTGTCAACAAGCCCAATTGTGACTATGTTTAGCAATCAGGCTCCAGCCAAAGTTGTAATGGTGGTAGTTGTTTCATGCAGAAGGGACTGCTGTATAGCATCATCTTATTAAAAGGACCTGAAATTTAAAAGGATTTGGTGCTAGGAGCCACAT